ATATATATATATATATATATACATACACACTATAATTATAACGTGTGTATCTCCTTTGGCCCGCAAAGGATAGACTAACGTTTACCCACATTATCTGCGTTAATGTATGAGAAACTTAGCGCAGAATATTCTCTTATTATATGTCACATATAATTTTATCCTATAATTCTTTCATACTATAACATTATCTGCTCGCGACAACTTAAAATGAACATATTGCTAAAAATAATTGCTTATGAAAATAGTTCTATAATCGATTTCCTCGATATTTGCACTATCAATAAAAATTATATGGCGCGTATATATATCCCATTGTGTGCGTAACTGCTTTGTGTTTCGTTCATAACCAGGATGGACAAGGATAGATCGCATTATCTATCATTTCGTAGTGATCATGGGTATCAATCAGTCGCAAAATATGTATAGGTACATATAATCGGAATAAAGCCATATGGAGAGCGAAAATAGTCCGTTCATATCGAACTCAATATTTACGTACTACGCAAACGTATTGGCTTTCAGCTTTCGTAAATTGCCATATTTAACGATATCAATTTCTAAAAATAAAATATAAAAAATAAAAATATAAAAATTAAAATCATGAATATTTATTTATCAATAAATATTACGTTAAACATTGATTTCTATTTACTCTTTAAATGAAATATTGTATAAGGCCACTCTGATGAAAATTTTTCTCAGAATTTTTCATATAATTTTTCAAAATTTGTATATAATTTCATAACTTTCTCATATTTTTTGTACGAATTGGAACACTTCTCAGAAAATCTACATCTTCTCTCAGAATTTTTCATATATGTTAATTATAAAATATCATAATTCTAAGATTTTTTTATAAGTATAATTTCTGATGAAATATTATAAAATCTAAAAAATTAAAAAATATTTTTTTAAATTATGGAATGAGAAATCAGAATCTATCTCAGAATTTACATGTATAAAAAATTCTGAAAGAAAATGTAAACTTTCGGAATATTTCTGAATATTTCTGAAAAATGTTCCAATTGTATAAAAATTATAAAAAAAATTTTCACCAGACCATAAACAAAATTTCGCATTATCTTCTATGGATTTGTTATGAGATTCTATCTTGTTTCCTTCAGAATAGGATTCCTAGAATCCAAGAATAGTCATTTGATTTCTTTTTTTCTTTTTACATAAATCATCTGAGATGTTTTTACACGAATTAAAATCACTATTTTTAACAAAAAATTGTATATTATTGATTATTTTCTGATTTGTTAATATTTGAGAACATGAATATGAATTTAATCACAATTTTCTGAAAATTAAGTAGAAACAAACAAATATTAAATGAAATAAGCGTTAAGCTTATTTGCGATAGTTTTTCTAAAAAAATTTTAATTAATATGTAACAATTTTTTATTTTTTGTGTATTCAAACGTTTGTAAAGAAAAGTTATTTAAAAAAAAGAAAATATATTAAATATTTATAATAATATAATAATATACACAATATAAATAAAATAATATTTTACAATTCATATTTTTTTGCCGCTAAAATGTAAAGATATCCCAGGTGATCATTTCCGAGTTAAATAAAACAACTTCGAATGAGAAGGAACTGTAAGCATTCGAATGTATTTCATAAAAAATAGATGCGCGCAAGAGTACGTTGAATTTTACCACGAAGAAATATGTAAAAAAAAAAAAAAATGATTGCAACATTTTCGATCAACTCGCAATCTTTCGCCGCTTTGATCTTTCTTCCCTCTTACTTCCTCCGACCTTTCTCGCGTTTGCACTCTTCTCAATTCAAGAAAGTAAACAAGAGAACTATTCCTACACGGATCTCGTCTGATTTGCGCGAGACTTAGTTCAGAATGTCAAATTTATTCGGCAAAAAAGAAATCAAATAAATAAATAGCGGCAGTGCAGCAAATAACTTGTACTGTTGATTCAGTGGATCTTGTTTACCAACAAAATATATGAATCGTCGTAATCGCGAGAGATAGTCCGGCGATGGTACACTACTTGACGAAGAGGTCCTTTAGGGTGGAGCAGATCGAGTCGCAGTCCGATTGTTCCTGCTCCTTGTTCCCACTCGTGAACCAACCGGCGACCTTACTGACACGTGACTTGTTCGGCGACACGGATGCCTTTCCGGATGAACTACTTGAAGCTTCCGCATCGTTTCCCCTGTGGCCCGAGGTGAGAATCTTCTCGATGGCATTACCAAGCACCTATCAATATCAAATCAAGCGAAAAATTTCATTTTCATGCGACCTTTCTCTTTTTTACGATGTATTATATATCTTGAATGCACAAATGAACATACATACACTAACTCGTAAAAAAAAAATGGACCACTGTGACATTATAATGGCCTATTTTTTTGCAGATGAATATATATAAGTACTGTATAAATAACAGAATTTTGCGCAAAATTGAGCAAAATTCTAATCATGATTTTTTAAAATACATTTGATGAAAAAACAATGTTTACTTTTTTATTAGTTTTTCTAAATAGTATATTTTTAACAATAACTTCCAATTCTTTTATAAAACCGGATTAAACAAGCGAGCGTGAATAAACCTGAATAAGCTTTCTTTTTTCGAATGCGAATAGTAATCTTTAACGTAGAATTCATTCAGTTTTACGTATGATACGCATGATGTATCATTTAATAAATTTTATTCTTCTTTAATATTCGGTGAGCAACAAAGTGAAATGGAATGCATCATATTAATGCTGTTCGTAGCTTAACTAGTTCGGTTGAACGTACTAGTTAGTGCACTGCTGCACTGGTGTATATTAAAGTCATGTACACTAATTTAATCTAAGGAGGACATGACGTTGAGGTCACTAATTTTAATCAAACTTGGTAAGGATATATAGTGCACTCCCAACAACCGACGTGTGCCAAGTAAGAAGCTAAATTACTAAAAAATAGACGAGACAATCGAAATTGTACATTCTTCCTTAACACTTGCTCTGTTTGTAAACCACCGAATTCCGATAAGCTAAAGTAGCTCAATTACTTTCTAAATTTCTTAGAGTGAAAGTTCACTTCATAAAAAAGTTCAAATACTGCTACTATTAAAAAAGAGTAAGAAATTTGCACTCTTGAATAAGAGTGGCAGATTTCACTCTTTTTTTTTACTAAGATTCATTCAAAAAAAGGAGCGAAATTTCTTTTCTTTGAAACGAATCTTACTCCAAAAGAACGAAACTGCCTCTTATTCAAAAGTGCAAATTTTTCTTTTTCAATAATGACAATAACTCTTTTAACTCTTTTAGAGTGGAATTTCATTTCAAGAAACTTAGAAAATAGAAGTATATTAAACTAAAAAAGAAGTCACTGCGATGAGCTAGACTCACAGTGCGATAGTTTATGTTTTGATATGTATGTTTTATTTTGTTCAATTTCATTTAAATGTTGTTATTTATTTTTTTTTATATATATAGAATTATTTTAAACAATTGTGCAATAGGATGCAGTAAGTAATTTAGAGGTTACGTTTATTTATAATTAATGTAAATTATAATTTCTTGCCTATTTCTTAGCGCCTATTTTTTAGTAATGAGAAAAATTTCTAGTTAAAATGAATAAGTTAAAAATTTCTGATCATATTAATTGCATTTGTGATTATCTCAAGTAAATAATAGATTCAATTCAAAAAATAGACAAATCAGAAAATTCTGATTTGTCTATTTTTAATCAAAATTCCAGTTAATGCAACCAGACTTTTTTTCAATGTACATCTTACTGCATATCAATTGTTAGAAATATATTATATATCTCCATCAAGTTTGATCAAAATCGGACCTCAACATCATAGTCTCCCCTTGTAAATAAAACGTAAATGTTTCGAATTATAAAATAGATAGAAATTTTACCTAACAGTACAATAAAGTGATACTGATAATTTCGCGGTTTAATCCATTTATATCATATTTGTATTATATTTATATTAAACATACATATTTAAGTAAATTTATATACGATAATTTCAATGTGCATCAGTGCGCACTAACTGCATCGAATTTGCTATTAGTACGGACTGTCTGAATGGGATAATTAATTACATTCATTTACCTGAGCATCCACTTTGGTACCACTACTGTCGTCCCAGAGGACCTTATGCCTGGCGTTCTTCACGAGCGTGTCCTTGACAGTTTTAATCACCCGCGACTTATCCAGCTTGAACGTCGTCGCGCTTTCCTCGTCGTATCGATTCTTCTTCGAGATGGGCTGATGTCTCTTGGCGAACCAGGTGCTTGGCGTTATAAACGCACCAATGGTGCTCTTACCACTGCTTGTTGGTGTCTTGCTTTTAGTGCTGTGCAGGATGGAGACGTCGAAGCTGTTGGATCGAGAACTCTTGAGTCGACTACGCCTTTGCTCCGCCGTTTTGGCTGACCAGCTCGATTTCTCGTCCTTCGCGCTCGATGCTTCCGTCGTGCCACACGTATTTATCTCCGTCGCGGACGATGTCAGGGAACTCAAGATGGATATCAGATCTGTGTTGGAGCATGTAATACCTGCTGCAGCTACTCTTGACGTTCCGGGTAACTCGATATCGGAGAGCGGCCTCGTCATTTCGGACGCACGTCTACGTAAAGCTGACGTTGACGCTGCCACCGATGCCGAGAACTCGGAGAACCGGCGTTTCTGATGCTGTATGTATTTCTGAGTGGTAGAACTGCTGTTGCCCTCCAGAGGCTGGATCTCGCATACGCGCTCGCGAGATGGTGTCTTGTACATCTTTAAACGGACCTGGGACGCGTGTACGAGCACGATTAGAGCGCTCCTCGCTTAAACGAAACGTCAGAGAACTGTCTAACTATATATCGAATTAACATAAATACCTATCAGTTGTTAATGGACTTCATAGTATGCGCCATTCTCTTCAAAATGAAGTGTAACGAGATTAAACAAAACGTCAGAGAACTGTCTAACTATACATCGAATTGACGTAAATACCTATCAATTGTTTAATAGTATGCGCTTTCTCTATAAAATGTAATACAAAATGGAATTTAAAAAACTTAAGTATAAGCTTTATAAATTTTTATGTTTTTGAACCTTGAATTATTCTTTTTGAAAAATTTTTTCAAAGGAAATATATTGATTAGATGAGGAATATATTACTCTGCTGTTCGGATCTATTATGTCCTAAAATGTAATTTATTTGTTATATTATCTAACGACGTGTAATATACTAAAGAAGAACAGATGTAAGTGATGTATCCATTAAAGATAGTTCCATTGTGAACCGAAACATTTGGAAAAATTTTGTGATTGTGACAATATTTTTTTGCACCGTTTAATGTGCCTTATTCGAATGTATTATTGAATTTTTCAGTTTGAGCCTTTAAGTTTGTTCATTTTAATTTGTAATTTATTTATTCTTGTTAATATTTTATTTAAAAACTTCTTTGTCTGGTATTTGATGACTTCGTATTTTAATATAAGATTTTTTGTAAAAATCTTTTATTTTTTATTTTTTAGAACTTTTCAAGATATTAACTAAAACTTAAATTAATCGAAATAGTAAATTTAAACAAATCAGCAGAGTTAATTAAAC